GCCCAGAGTTTGTCCAGGAATTAAACTCCCGGCTTGTTTCAGCAGCTCATATTCTCATCCCCTCCTTTGCTGCTGACTCCCCCAAAACCTTCTAGCATAGTGTTAAATTTTCCTACTCTAACAAACCAGTGGGAGAAGTAACCCAATTAGGACACTAAATAGTAATAAACATTATTGTTACCGATTTTCATAAAGAGCAACTCATATCACTACTTAAAAACCTCAGGAAAACATCAGGCTCCTCAGAGCACAAGCCTGGGTTCCTTGGTCTGGAGGCATGAGCCTCCTGCCAGGTCCCCGTGACAGCCTGTTGCTGGAAAGGCATTTTCTCTGTTACCCGAGCATCACTAGCACCTCTCTTCAACATCAAAAGTGCAGGAGGACTAGAGGTGTGAGTCCCCACCAACAAATGTAGTACATGGAGCCAAAGCAGAGCTCTCGTCCTCTTTGTACCAGCATCCTTGGTGACTGCACAAGGCAGAAAAAGGAAGATAATTTGATCCCCTGAGTTTCTGTCTGTGCTTTTCTTAGGGTTTTGCGTTAGCACTTGTTGCCATAGTATCAACAGTCGTGGCAAAGTTCTCTGGGGGCCTCCTGGGACTGATTCCTTGTCCCACAGAAGGGTCTGGCTCTCATTTGTGCAGGATTGGGGTGGGGGGATGTGGAATTTTCTGCTTCCTAATTTTTGCTAGAGGTGCTGCCACTGCAAGCAAGGGTGTTCCTTAGAAGCAGCATCAGCCACATCATCCTCGTTCTGCCAGCATCTTTGAACATGGGTCTGGGCATGGGGCACTGTGACAAGAATGCCATGAGTGCATGAGAGAGAGGAATGGAAATGGACCCTGATGCTCATCATGTCCTGGGGCTTTTCCCTTTCCCCATGGGACAGTCCCATGCTGGTGATGCTGCCTTTGGCTGAAGCAGCCCCAGCCTCTACCTCAAAAACAGAGTTTTTCCCCCATGCCAGAGGAGAAGTTTTTGACTTCCCAAGAGCCTGCTCCCCAATACTGGCACCATGGGGAGAGGCAGTGGTGGGGCAGACTGTCACACTGGGTCCATGGTCCCACTGTGTTGCAGAGGGACTGGAGCCCTTGGCCAAGACGTGTCACTGATATTTCCAAGGACGTGTTCATTTTGATGGCTGGGGATGAAGAATGGGTCCTGCTCTGAAAAGACTGAGCTTTCATGACTCTCAAGGCAAGGAAGAACTGCACGTTTTCAGCATGTCTGAAAACATAAGCCTGAGACTGAAAAATGGGATTAAGACAAGCCTATCCTAGAAGGGCATTGTGAGTTCTCATTAAGCATTTCTGAATTGTCATGTAAAAGAGGAGCTATGGAAAGAGCTGCCTTAGCATAAATACCTCTGGTTTTGTATACACACAGAGAGTACTTGCAGGTTTCCACGCTCTGCATATAGAACCAACATACTGACAACATATGGGCTTTCCAGACCGCGCGTTCCTCATGCCCACAGCCAGATCCCAAGCACTTGCTTGGCGTCATATCGGTGCTTCGCTCCACTCGCTTTACAGCTGCCATGTAGGGTGGCCATCCGGGGTGCGTTGGGTCAGGTATCGCACACAGCCCCTCACAGATTTAATTTGGAACAAGCAGATGGGAGCAAACGTGCTTTCATCCAGCTCCAGACAGACAATGGCTTACAGATCCTTCCCTCTTCGGGACACAATATGTTTATTTTTGGCTATGTACGAGAGATCAGATTGCGTATATAGATTTGATTTAATGCACAGATACAATCAGAACAGCGTGAGTAGAGCAAAGGCATTTTAACTTTGTTTGGAGCCTCCTCTCAAAACTGGTCCCTTGCTATCAGGGTTGTATTTCTTTGTAAGAATTGATGGTATCAACAAGTATCAAACAATATTGTCATTACTCAGGAAAGGTAAATGCTAATCTATGCGAGCCAAGCTCATGTGACTTATCAGTTACTATATATAGTTGTTTTCAGACACTGATTTAGGCAATCTGGCAGATTTCCTAAGCCTTTGTACAGATACACTACTGAAATGGCAAATAGGCAGTTGTGTGGATAGTATGAATAAGTCCATGAAAAGCACAAACCAAAATGTTACCTTCTGAAAATAGCTGCTCTTGGAGTGTGCTGGGGGGTGGCTGTGTTGAAGCTCTCTGGCTTCACCACTACCCCACCTGGCTGAACCCACAGCAGCGGAGCAGTGCAGCTCTGCAAAAGTCAACATTTGCAAGTGTAATAGAGAGGCAGTAATGGGGATTTGGTCCAAGCGGGGGAACACACAAAGTCTTCTCGGAATACCCCTCCTCTTGACAGAGCTCTTTGACAAAAGGGTGTTACACCCAGCCTGGGAAGGGAGCAGATGAATACCTCGCTCTGCACAGACGCAGCAGCTAGTGTGTGGCCGTTGCAAGTTGGTACAATCAAGACC